TTACTGGTTTTAATAAGTCATGGGCCAATCACGACACTTAGAGAGGTTTCATTTGGAGAAAAAAACGTATTTTTTTAATTACCATCTTAAACCTCAAGAGTGGATTTGATTTAGTTTACAGCTCTCTGACTGGATGATCAGGCGATTACTTATTATTATTATTGTAATTTTGTCATGTTTTTTATTGGCTAAGATTTAGCTATTCTATCGACTAACTTTACTCTTTTTGTGTGTTTTTTTTTAATCTGTTGGCTAATTTGCATTTTTTAATTTAATTAATCCTTTTCACCCACGCCATATTTTTGCTAGGCCGCACACCCCTGCTGCCTTCCCTTAAGACCCAACCAAGCGTGGTTCTATATTTTGTGATTTTCACACAATTTAAATAAAAAAAAAATTCATGACAGAAAAAAAATTCTGATTGGAATGAATCATCATTCTTTAAAATTCAGACTCCGAAATGAGACGATAACGGTAGACGTTTCTCTGCTACAGTCTGGTTATTAGTTGAGATACAATGCAAGAAATACAGGGAAGAGACGTTTAAACTACGCACACACACTCACACACACACACACACACCTGTCTTCTATTTTGGGGGCCATTGTGCTCCCCTGTTGTGACGTGGAGGATCAGACTCGGGCTCCTCCTGCAGGAGTAACGCGTTAAAAATGAGCTCCATCACAGTGTTTGACAGAAACTCGCAGCTTGATAGAGTGCGTCCTGTGAGAAAAAAGGCTGAATGAGAATGAAGATTTTTTTTTTTTTCTACCAAGATGAGGAGAAAATAAAGTAGCAGCAGCAGAGTGTCAGCTCCTCCTGTATCTCCAGGCTCCGCGGTGCCTTTACTGGGTCAATAAAAAAGAAAATATAAAATAAAAAATATTTATTTTAAAAATAAATTCTAAATTTAGTCACCGTGCAAAACAATCAACAAATGAACTGTAAAAAAATATTCGTGATATTGTTTTTAACTTCATGTATTCAGTTGCATGTATATCACGTCATTTTACAAATGTTATTTTATTCATGTATTTATTTTGGCCTTAACACAGCTTGAAAGAAGCACTCGCTGACCAATCAGATTTTACACATTTTTGAGGGTTTTTTATGAGAGAATCTTGACTGACAGACACTAACGAAACACTGCTTTAAATCTGTATCTCAGAATCTACAATTTAAACTTAATTTTATTTTCTAATAGGTGGGTTGAACCTCTAAATATAGTGAATTATTATTATAATTATTATGATTATTATCAGTATTAATAATTATGGTCGTAGTAGTAGCAGAACTACATTTTCATAGAAAGACTTTTCACGGTCAGTTTAACTACAAATTTAACTACAAATGTGTATTTATTATTTTCAATAATATTAAGAAAGACTTTTCACGGTCAGTTATTTAACTACAAATGTGTATTTATTGTTTTCAATAATATTACAGCACAAATTAACAAATTACAGCCTAATAACAACTTTCGTATTTTAAACCCCATAAACCGTTTCCCCAGGAAGCTGACCTACAGAACTACATTATTATATATTATAATATATAATTATGTAGTTTGGTCTTAATTTGGGATTTGGGATACATCTCAGGAATCTGACTTTAATCCCAAAATTCTACAATGAAAAAATTCAAATTGAAACGAATCTCACTAGAGAAATTCATGTTGATATTCCATTTATGTGAAAACATAAATCCTACCACAGCCCTATCCTACTTGCTCCGAACCTCCTAAAAGGCCTAGGGGCAGGTGGTCCCTAAATTTGTGGCCCCAGAGAGACTGGGGTTGAACCGAGGAGCGGAGACAAAGAAAGAAAGAAAGAAAAAAAACGTCTCCTCTGTCTTTCTGTTGAATCACTGGAGCCTGTCGGTATTATGGTCACACTTATTTGTTCCGTGACCTTGTTTGGAGGCTGTTTCTTCTCCATCATCAACATCACCCTCATCATCATCATCATCATCATCACCTCCAATCACCGCTGCTGACTCTGTGTCTCCTCCTAATGGTTTCATGTTAAAGCGAGTTGTTGCTTATTAAACTAAAAGGTCTGGTGGTGGCGCTAAGCCTGTGTGTGTGTGTGTGTGTGTGTGTATTTCATTAACAAACTGTGGAGATAATGCAAGCGGATTTATGAGGCTTCAAAAGATCACAGGAAGGACACGATGATCTGCAGCCATCCAGCCAGTCAGTCAGTCAGTGAGACAGTCAGTCAGTCAGGTTAGATCAGCAGTTACACTGGTGATAATGATGATGCCACTCTTCTCTAAAAACTCCACCTAGATGGTGATAATGATGATGCCACTCTTCTCTAAAAACTCCACCTGTCACTGTTTTTTTTTTTTCAGGAGATTTCCATATAAGGAAAACATCAACATTAATTGTTGTAAAATAATCTCGATTAATATATATTATAATATATTATATTATCAAATGTCTTTAGTTAGGTTTGGGTTTTATAAATCCATAAAGTGTTCAGATCTCAGTGTTACTTAGTAACAAATCACATTAAAATAATCTCGATTAATATATATTATAATATATTATATTATCAAATGTCTTTAGTTAGGTTTGGGTTTTATAAATCCATAAAGTGTTCAGATCTCAGTGTTACTTAGTAACAAATCACTACAACACATAAACTGTACATTTTATTAATATTACAGTGAGTAAACAGATCTGCAGCGTCATTATGTTGTCATTTATCTATAAATAGGAAATTTTAAAATCAAATCATCTTAAACTAAATGTGAATGTTTTTTTTTTTTAAATTTACACTAAAATACCAGAGAAAGAATTTAGAAAGTCTAGTCTAGCGGCCAAAAATAAATCTGCCTTGGCCCATTTTTGGGTCGTGGCCCAGTCTTTGAAGACGCCTTTTTGGAAGAACACAGTTAAAATCGTTTGTAGATTAAAGTTGTCGTCTGTTAACAAAAGTTTTTAATTTATTTGTCCAACAATCGTAGTTCAGAAATGTGGTAAAACATAAACGACGTAACACAGAGTCAATTTATTTTGCGCAAAAACAGAACTTTTTAAACCAATAAATGTTGTTGTCTGTTTCTGTTCAGAAATAGAAAAAACGATTTTTCAAATGTAAAAGAAAATAGACAGAAAAGAAAAAAGAGGGAAATGTTTTAAAATGTCGTCATGTCGTGAAATCTTATTTTCTCATTTTTAATGTATGGCCTAAAAAAACGACCACGTCAAAACATTTCACTTAAACAGAGGGAAGAAAAAAAACGTAGCCTCTGATTTCATCTGTTTAAGTAGCTTCAGATTACACAGCTCGACGCGAGATTAACACATGCTCCGAGAACGTAATCTACTCTAATCTGGACCCAGGTTCACCTGCTTCAACGTGTGTGCATTAATAAACAGCTCGATCTGCTGCAGCCACAGACGAGCCGAGTATTTCCTCTCATTCACTACTAAATAAATATGTTCCAAATGTATTATTTAAAAAAAAAAGAAATAGTGATATTTAGTGAGATTAATTTCTGTGACGAAGGACGGAGAATTCTATTGTTTCATCCTGTCTGCTTTAATTGAGATGAAGGAGGCGCGTGATGGAGCCGAGCACCGAGCATTAATGCGCCATATCTCAATTTGTGCGTCACGTTTAGGCCTTTCATTTATTCAAATAAAACATTTGACACACACCCACACACACACAAACTGGAGTTGATTATAGATATTTTCATTAAACTCCTTAAAAAAGACAGATTTAAACACTGAGCTAAAAAATAAATAAAAAATGAACTAATCTGAATCTGAAGTGTGTTTTTGTGCTGCGGCAGCAGAGAGACAGTCACTGGTCTGGTTAGATTTTCTCACAGTGCGCAGGAAGAAGAACCCTCGGACAGCTGAAGTGCCATCACCTCCTCTCCCCTCCTCTCCTCCCTCTCCTCCCTTCTCCTCTCCCACCTTCATGCTTGTGAATAAATGCTCTCTTTGCATTCACCCGCTGCCTGCATTTCCTACTTTTTTCAAATGCAAAATCATGCAATGATGGCGGTCGTTAGCACCTCTTACAAAACTGTTAGGGGAATTCTTTGCTCTCCCATTCACAGCTGCCGCCGCCGCTGCTCCGTATTCTCCCCGCCTTCTGTTTAATCCTGCGGGAAATAAATAGATTTTAAAGTCACTCGCTCTTCGCGGCGCTGCATTTACATGTCGTATGAGTTCCCGACATGTAAATACCAGGGCAGGTTTACGTCTCAAGTTTACGACTGAGTCCATGCAATAACAAAATGAAAACACAATGACCGGAAGTCTACACGTGTATCTGAGAAATTCAAACTTAGCTGTAGTTGCTTTGTTGATTTATTTTTTCTTTTTCTTTTTACGCAGCCCGCGAAACGCGCGTCAGATCTTTCAGGCCAACTTTCTCTCCTCCTCCTCCTCCTCTCTCCGCCAAGAATAAATGGTCTATGACGGACGAACATGGAAATGAGCGGAAAGCAGCAGCAGCAGCAGCGGCACTGCTGATGTCCCATTGTTGACAAATCCATGAAACAACTCCAGTTTGCATGGTTTACCAGAGAGGAGAAGTGAGCAGAAGTGAGAAGAGGTGGAGAAGGAGGAGGAGGAGGGGATCAGAGAGGAGAGGAGAGAAGAGAGAGGAGAGGAGGGGGCGTCTGTCGTCACCAAACCACGTGTCCTGCACTGATAGTATATCTTATAGCTACTGGGGAAAAGTAATCTATCAGACAGCCCTTTTTTAAAAAAGCTGCGGCCCTTAAAAGCAGCAGCATGTGTCATCTCCACTCGCTTCTCCAAATATCACAGCTGTAGGAAATACACACGCGCCGGGAACCGGAGGTTTCTGTGAGAGAGAGATAGAGAGAGAGAGAAAGAGAAAGAGAGAGAGAGAGAGAGAGACGCAACATCTCCAAACAACTTTCCAGCGCAAGGAAGACGCACCGCGGCCTGAAGCTCCTTCTGTCCACTGGAGATTTTCTTTCTTTCTTTTCCTCTGTCCACTGGAGATTTTCTTTTTCTTTTTTTTTTTTTTTTTTAGAAGTTAGAGCCTCTCCGCCGGTGTTGACTGGCTGTTGCTAAAGGCTTCGACCGCATTTAGATTTTGGGAGACATCCGATCTGTGGACAGAAAGGAGTCCAAGTGAGCGGCTCGGTGTGCGCACTGACTCGGCGCTCAGCTCTGCCTTACCCTCCACAGCCCGCTGGTCCCGGGGTTTTAGGCTCAAAAAGACTCTATTTTTAAAAAAAGAAACTTAAGCTGTGAGATGACCCTGTCTGGAGGCAGCGAAAGAGCCAGCGACATGTCCGGCCAAACTGTGCTCACGGCGGAGGACGTGGACATCGACGTGGTGGGAGAAGGAGACGAGGAGGGCATGGAGAGGATGGACAGCGACTGCGACAGTCCCGGTGTGGACATCCTGCACGACCTCCGCGGGGACGCAGGAGATGATGAGGTGGAGGATGAGATCGAGGTGGAGAAGGAGGAGGAGGAGGAGATGAGGTCCGGTGGCAGTCCGTGCTGCGAGAGCTCCGGCGAGGGCGAGAATGGCACCGGCAAAGGAGAGGGTCACGACGGGAGCGCAGCGTCAGGGGGTTCGATCCAAAAGTCCAAAAACAGCCTGGTGAAACCGCCCTACTCCTACATCGCCCTCATCACCATGGCCATCCTCCAGAGCCCGCAGAAGAAGCTCACACTCAGCGGCATCTGTGAGTTCATCAGCAGCCGGTTCCAGTACTACAGGGAGAAGTTCCCCGCCTGGCAGAACTCCATCAGACACAACCTGTCCCTCAACGACTGCTTCGTGAAAATCCCACGGGAGCCAGGCAACCCCGGCAAGGGCAACTACTGGACCCTGGACCCAGCGTCAGAGGACATGTTCGACAACGGCAG